AAAAAAAAAAATTCCTTAAAAAGCACTGAAAATCAGAAAATTCAGATATTCAGTAAGCTACCTTCTGACCTATATTTTCAATTTCAGGTAGGAAAAAAAAAGACCCACATTCCCAAATTGGAGATTGTATTTAGAACTAATTATGTTACTCCAAAAGGGCATTCTGACTCAGGAATGGGCTGTGTCCTGGGTAACAAAGAACACATCTGTCAAAGGCAAAGAAAACAAGGAGATTGCTTTTTATATTGTGTTTTTTTCTAGGTCAAAAACAATACCCCACAAACAAAACAAGCAGCAGCTGTTTAAGCAAAAGGCATCTGTTTTTCCACAGTTAACACAAAATTTGGGTTATAGGATCACTTTATTACCACCATGAAGCTAGAAAATAATTTATTCAATTTTAATCAGGCCTTGTATGATTTGTAAGACTCTAAAACATTCTGTTGAACTTTACCTTAAATTCATTTGTCAACTTCAACTGCTGTCGCTCTAATTACCATTCACCCCAAAAGTTTGACTGGTACATATTTGATGAAACACAGAATGTGAACATGTGGGCATGTGGTGACCTCATATCCACACATAAACTACTTGCATCTTGGACAACGGACATCAGTTCCCCATCTCTAAGCTCCAACTATGAAGGCACTTTGGCTCTCTGGTTCCTCTTGTCCTATGTACATGGAGCAGGCACTCAAAAAACGAGTGAAACTAGTAAGTCCTGATTAGCTGAATGGGTTTTGAATCATTTAAAAGACCGTATGTAAACAATCGATAAACTCATACAATCTTGTGTTTAACGTACCCTCTGAATTTTCACTATTAGTCAAATATGAATAATCTGGGGCGCACACTGAACGTGTATCATAGCCCTCGTGTGCAGCCTTGAGAGTACGGCAGAGTCCTATAAAGTAACTGCCGGACACTGCAACGTTCCCCAAGCAGGAAAACTCAGCGAGAACAAGCGCAACCCAGAGCCACAGGGTGCTACAGAGACTGGACTCACCCACTCCTCTTTCCTAACACTGTTGTACAGGAGATAGAAACCAAGTGTTTACTTGACTTTCCTAGCTAGAATGTTATTCACTCTTTAAGCTTCATTTATGACCATAAAACATCTTTGAGTGAGGCAAGAGTTAATTTCTCCTTCCAGAACTGCTACTACTGATTTAAATCTCTTTCTAGTTTATTCTTGGTAACATGGTCAGCTGAGAATGGAATTTGACATAGGGTAGAAGTTATTTTCATAGGGAACTGAAAATATATAAAGGCTGAATATAAACATTTATACATAATAGAAATACAGACATAGGCCAAATTGTTAAGAATGGTTACCTCTGGCTCGGCGCCTGTGGCTCAACCGGCTAAGGCGCCAGCCACGTACACCTGAGGTGGCGGG